ATTAACCAGGATGACTTTAAGTGAGGAGTTACTGTACAGAGGTAAAATGATCTCTCTGTTTCTACTCAAGACTCCCCTATTTATGGGGATTGCACTAGCTCTTTCGGCCACAGTGTTACATTGAGAGCTCACGTTCAGCTGATTATCTAACACTGGCCCCAAATCTCTTTCAGAATCACTGCTTCTCAGGCTAGAGTTCCCCATCGGGTAAGTCTGACCTAGATTCTTTGTCCACGTTTTTTAAACTGTGTTTCCCCAAAGCCATTCGCAATAAGTCCCAGACACTTGTACACAGTACTACTTGCCTAGCCAGTTATTCCTAATTTTGTATTGGTGCATTTGATTTTTCCTTCCTAAGTATAGTACTTTGCACATGGCTTTATTGAATTTCATCTTGTGGATTTCAGACTAATCCTCTAATTTATCAAGATCCTTTTGAATTATAATCTTGTGCTCCAAAATACTTGTTTTCTTTCCCCTCTTAGTATCCTCTGCAAATTTTATAAGCATACGTGCCACTCCAATATCCGAGTCATTAATGAAAAAATTGGATTGTACTGGGCCCAGGACACACCCTTGTGGGACCCCACTTAGATACGTCCTCCCAGTTTGATAGTGAACCATTGATAACTGCTCTTTGAGTACAGGTTTTCAACCAGTCATGCACCTACTTTATCGTAATCTAATCTAGACCACATTTCCTTCATTTGCTTATGACAACGTCAGGTAGGACTGTGTCAAAAGGTTTACTAAAATCAAAATATATCATGTCTACTGAGTACCCTCTGTCCATTAAGCCAGTAAAAGGGTAAATGGGATGCCAATTATAGGCCTGTCAGCCTGACATTGATCCTGGGCAAGATAATGGAACAGCTGATATGGGACTTGATTAATAATGAATTAAAGAAAGTAATGTAGTTCATGCCAATCAACATGGGCTTGTGGACAATAGATCCTGTCCCACTACCTTGACATCTTTTTTCTTTTTTTTTTTGGATGAGTTTACAAGTTTTGTTGATAAAGGTAATGCTGGTGTAATATAGTTAGCTCCTGTAAGGTGTCTGACTTGGTACTGCATGACATTTTGATTAAAATACTAGAATGATATAAAATTAACCTGATACATTAAATTTATTAAAAGTTGGTTAACTGATGGATCTGAAAATGTAACTGTAAATGGGGATTTGAGTGGGTGTGTTTCTAGCGAGGCCTGGCAGGGATCAGTTCTTGGCCATGTGCTATTTAACATTTTTATCACTGACCTGGAAGAAAACATAAAATCACCACGGACAGAGTTTTCAAGTAACACTGAAATTGGGGGAGTGGTAAATAATGAAGAGGAAATATTGCTGATACAGAGAAATCTGGATCACTTGGTAAACTGGGCGCAAGCAAACAATATGCTTTAATACAGCTAAATGTAAATGTATACATCTAGGAATATAAAATGTAGGCCATACTTACAGGATGGGGGACTCTATCCTGAGAAACTGTGACTCTGAGAAAGATGTGGGGGTTAATCAGCTGCATATGTGCTCCCAATGTGATGCTGTGGCCAAAAGGCTAATGCAAGCCTTGGATGCATAAAGAGGAGAATCTTGAATAGGAGTAGAGGTTATTTTATCTCTACATTTGGCATTAGTGTGACCGCTGCTAGAATACTCTCTTCAGTTCTGGTGTCCACAATTCAAGAAGGATGTCGATAAATTGGAGGGGGTTCGGAAAAGAGCCACAAGAATGATTAAAGGATTAGAAAACATACCTTACAGTTCTGTGACGAGTATAATGCAAGACGTCAGACTAGATCTTCAGAATGGTTTCTTCTGTCCTTGGAATCGATGAAAATGTGACCTGAGTGCAACCTAAAAGCTCTGAAAGCAGAAGTCAAAAAGAAAGGAAGTAAAAATGTATTATGTTTTTAAAATCTCATGGATTTTTAAGACAATTATGATTTTGGGATACCTGATTCGCTATTTTGAATGCTTGAGGTTAGGAATACAGGGGGTCAAGTTTTTATTTAAATAGTTTTTTGGCACATTTAAACAAAATCTAAAGAAAGGCACTTGGGTGTTAGAGGTCTCTTTTTACCCAATTGTATACAATTAAAAATCACACCAAATGAACAAAAAAATACAGTCATCCAGACCGTGGAGAATCATCCAGCCAAGGAAGCATTTCCCCAGTCAGGAGGGCCCTTTTGATAAATGTTCACCTACTCTCTGAGTCAAAACACAAATATCTCATTTTCTCTTGTGATCTGAGCAAAGGGAGAAAAGCAGTTGTGGCTGGCTAATCCCTTCATTTTTGGGTTTTTATCAACTAAGTCAACAATGTTTCTTTCTAAGAATTTTACAGCATGGGAAGTTAATTTCTCCTATGCCATTTCTAGCAGAGGAATCCAGTTGGTCAAAGAACTCTGTCAGTGCTAAGTAACTTGTTTTCCTTTTTTTTTTTTTTAAACCCTCTTCTCTGTGTTAATTGCACTGGCAAGGTTTTAGTAGTTCTAAGGCTTTCTCTAAAGAGAAGTAACATGTGTGACTATTTTCTTTCCTCTCCTTTCTTCATCTAGAGCTGTGCCCTAGAAGCAAGCTATCTTATGCTGCTATCAGAAACTAATGATGCAATGCAGGTTCTCTCATTCTGGGTAGGAGTGGAGTAGTGGTTGTAAGGAGCTGAGGCACCTTTCTGCGTGTGTGGGGTGGGGAGGAGAGAGAGGAGAGGAGAAGGGGACAGACCGAGACCCTTTTCCCAGTTCATGCTGGGGATGAAGGGGTTGTAAGTGTAAGGGAAATGAGGTTACTCTCCCAGTTCATGTTGTGGGCCAGGGACAGTGGGTGTGAGGGATTGTAACTAAATGCATAGTGGGTTCTGTTCAGTTTCTAAATTTGTGACATGTCAGATAGAAAGTTCAACTGGTTTTTTTAAGTCAGATTTTTCTTACTACAGTAGAACCTCAGAGTTACAAATACCTTTGGAATGTTGCTTGTTTGTAACTCTGAAATGTTCATAACTCTGAACAAAATGTTATGGTTTCTCTTTCAAAAGTTTACCACTGAACTTCGACTTAATATAGCTTTGAAACTTTACTATCCAGAAGAAAAATGATGCTTTTGACCGTCTTAATTTAAATGAAACAAGCACAGAAACAGTTTTCTTACCTTGTCAAATCTCTTTTTAAAAGCTTTCCCTTTATTTTTTCGGTAGTTTACATTTTACATAATACCAAAAAAAAAAAAAAAAAGAAAAGAAAAAAAAAGGGCAAATACAGTACAGTATCTGCTACTACCTGATTGTGTATTTTCGGTTCCAAATGAGGTGTGTGGTTGACCAGTCAGTTCCTAATTCTGGTGTTCGTAACTCTGAGGTTCTACTGTACACCAGGTACACCAGGTACAGCATGTACAGAAAGATGGTGCTCACCAACCAATTTGGAGGCCAGTCTGCAGCTCACCCTGACCCACATGGGTTATAAGGCTATATAAAAAAATCACTTTTTAAAAAAAAAAATCTCATTTTACCCTTGTGGTTAGTTACATACCTAACATCATCCAATCACTGTCACCTTTGCAGTCCAGATAGCATTGGTTCCAAGTTTCCAACTTAACGTATGTACAAAGGTACATATATTTTGGCCTGATTAACAAGACAATACTAGGTTATGTAGCTAGCTGCATAATACTTTTTAACCTGCAATAGAACCTCAGAGTTATGGACACCCCAGGAATGGAGATGTTCATAATTCTGAACAAAATGCAGTTTGGGCTCACGCTCCAGCTGCAGCTCCCTCCTCAGGACCAGCAGCTTCCTTGCAGGCAGCTTCTTTCCTGAGGTCAGTCGGACTGAGTTTGCAAGCTTATCCCCCTCCGGGCCAGGGGTGAGGTGGGGGGTGGAAACAGCGTATCCCCCTCTGGGGCAGAGGAGAGCAGGGTGGAAACAATGCATCCCCCTCCGGGCCATGGGGGAAGAGGGGGGGATGGAAACGGCGCCCACGGCTTACAGGAAAGCAGCGCAGACCTGAGTACTGCTCCTGTTCTACTGGCTCGGGCTCTCGTGGTCTGGCAATGCAGTACCTCCTAGCTGTAACTAGCTGCCCCGGGGGGGACAGGCAGCCCAGATGTGCCTACATTTAAGATCCACAATACAGTATTTGTTTTATTTATTTATTTTTTTGGTCTCCACTGCTGCCTGATTGTTTACTTCTGGTTCCAGATGATGCGTGGTTGACCTGTCAGTCCATAACTCTGGTATTTGTATCTTTGAGGTTCTACCGTATCATTTCATGTTGTGCTGAAACATCCTATGCATCATCCATTCTGTAATACAAAGCTCATCTGTTGATACTGTTCCACTATTTCTCTTTGTTGTGGCTTCCATTATCACTTCATAATAATAAATAGCAATAACAGTAGCTTCATATCCCCTTTGCTTATTTAGGCCCCCGTGAATACAGAGCCATGTTGGAGAATAGGGCCCTACTCCGGTGTCACCAGAAAGTCCCCTAAAAAGAGCCAGGTGTGATACAGCTATGTAGACTCCTGCGCTGCTGGGGACGACCATTTCCTCAGCTCATGCACCAGGTAGCACAGTTGATGTCGGGCTGTGGCCCCTTTCCTGGTTCATGCATGCATATGGGGGGGAGGTGTGTGTGTGTGTGTAGAGGGTTCAAGGGAGTTCAGCCCCCTTTCCCAGTTCATCGAGGGGAGCAATGAGTGGAAGGGGACAGAAGTCCCTTTTCTGGTTCCTAGGGGGAGGTTCCAGTTCATGGGAGCGGCAGAGATCAGGTGATCCCAGGGGATCAGGGGATTCCGGGGCTCAGGCCCCTGTCCAGTTCATGGGGGGGGGGGGGACCGGGGGTAAGCACTCGCTCCCAAGGCCTAGGAGGGCAGGGCCCGCGGTAGGGCGGGCTCCCGCTTGTGCCTCCGGGCGATTTTCACAAGCTCCCGAAACTGGCACCAGCCCTTCTGCCGGGTGCCGCCCCGCGCCCTGCTAACCCTGGCCGGGACCCAGCGGCGCTGGAGACAAAGCGGAGCGCGGAGCTCAGAGCCGGAGCCAGGTGAGCTGCAGGGATCCTTGAGCGCGGGGGACTCTCGGTCCCGGGGGACACGTGTGGGGACGGGCGGGCTCCACGCGGCGGCTGCTCCCCTGAGGCGAGCGCGCCCAACGCAGCGTGACAGCGGCCCGCGCAGCAGCCGCGGGCTTCCCGTTCCCCCGGCTGCGGCGCAGTTCCCCCCCCCCTCCCCTCTGTTCTGGTTTAACTGCCCTAGCTAACAGCGGCCGCCTAGCCCTCCGCCTTGTGCCCTGCGCCGTGGTATTGTTTCATATTCTCGTGTGTATATAAAGTCGGCTGCAGTTTCCACGGTATACATCTGATGAAGTGAGCGAGCCACAGCTCAGCTCAAATAAATTGGTTATCTCTAAAGTTCCAAAAAAACTCCCTTTTCTTTTCAAAAAAAAACAAAAAAAACGTTCCTCTAAACTTAGTTTAGTTTGTGCATTTGACAGAAGGGGGCTGAGCCAGGGGCAACAAACAAAACTGACGCTGAGAAGCAGGGGAAGCTTGTGTAGGAAGAGAGGTTGGGAAGATTGGGACTGTTAGAGATGGAGGCAAAAGAGGCGATAGTTTGCTAAGCTTCTGTCAACACGGACACACACAAGTTAGACGTTTATATAGATTCAGGGAACATCTGCAGGAAGATTAGGTAATATTTAAGAAAAATGGAAGTGATCAGCTCTTAGTCTTCAGGGATTAACTAACTTCTAATTGATGGGCACTAGATTACCGGAATGATGGGTGTTCTGTGTAGAGTTTAAAGAGAACAGAATAGGAGCAGGTATTTCATAAATGCCCACTTCAGCGTTTCTTGCATCTTGTAATGGCCACTGACAGAGACAGGTTTCAGAGTAACAGCCTGTTAGTCTGTATTCGCAAAAAGAAAAGGAGGACTTGTGGCACCTTAGAGACTAACCAATTTATTTGAGCATAAGCCTTCGTGAGCTACAGCTCATTTCATCGGATGCATACTGTGGAATTCCACCCAGCCCTTGAGGAATTCCACCATGATTTCAACAATTTCCATCCCACCATCAACCTCAGCCTGGTCCAGTCCACACAAGAGATCCACTTCCTGGACACTACGGTGCTAATAAACGATGGTCACATAAACATCACCCTATACCGGAAACCTACTGACCGCTATTCCTACCTACATGCCTCCAGCTTTCACCCTGACCACACCACACGATCCATTGTCTACAGCCAAGCTCTGTGATACAACCGCATTTGCTCCAACCCCTCAGACAGAGACAAACACCTACAAGATTTCTATCAAGCATTCTACAACTACAATACCCACCTGCAGAAGTGAAGAAACAGATTGATAGAGCCAGAAGAGTTCCCAGAAGTCACCTACTACAGGACAGGCCTAACAAAGAAAATAACAGAATAACGGCCACTACCCGTCACCTTCAGCCCCCCACTAAAACCCCTCCAACGCATTATCAAGGATCTACAAAACTATCCTGAAGGATGACCCAACACTCTCACAAATCTTGGGAGACAGGCCAGTCCTTGCCTACAGACAGCCCCCCAGCCTGAAGCGAATACTCACCAGCAACCACACACCACACAACAGAACCACTAACTCAGGAACCTATCCTTGCAACAAAGCCCGTTGCTAACTGTGCCCACATATCTATTCAGGGGACACCATCACAGTGTTGCCGGCACCCAGTGCCGAGAGGCTAAACAACAGCTTGAGTTGGTTCGTTACCCGGTGTGCTACACCCAATAATCACAACGGGGTGGAGAAGCAGAAAAGTTTATTTGCAGCTGCAAAAAGGTACAGGGAGAATAAAATCTCAAATCCTGCACAACAGAGCAGGAAGTTACACAGGCTTTTATACATCCTTTTTCACAGGCTTTTATACATCCTTTTTCCCAGCATACTTATCCAATAGCAAGCTGCTCCAAGTATCCATATAGCCAGCCAATCCAGTTCCCAGCTAGTTCCCTGATTCTCTGTATCATTTGTTAAACTATACATAAAGCTGCTTTATTCAGCATTGTTCTTCCATATCTCCCCTGTTTGGCCTTGCTTAGTTTCAGGCAGTCTGACTCTGCAACATACTGTTGCAGATTCTCAGCATAACTGCTGTGTGTGCCTCTAGGCGGGGGGGGCCAAGGACACTTGGGCCTAGCACGCAGAGCTGCTGCGAGTGCCTCCAGGCAGGAGGAGGGGGGCCAAGGACACCGGGGCCTAGTGCGAGGGGGCTTCATCGACACTCGTGGTCTTCCATCCCCTCGAGTTACCTAGTGGCCATGCCCCAGTGTTCCCAACAACTCCCCCCTTTGAGAACACTCAACAGCCTTGGCTCTGAGTTTTCTCACTTGGGCTACTTATTTCTTTACAATATGACTTTGCATAAGCACTTTGTGATAGCCCTGAAGAGAATGACTTATTAACTTTCGCAAAAGGGCCCTAACACATGATACCGCACAGCATAATACCAGTAATACAAGCAATACAGGAAAAAGAAATTTCAATAGCAGGCTAAATAAACCACCAAGCCAAGATGACAAACCCCAACCTGAAAACAAGGTTTGCAACCAATCGTTCTCTGGGGCAGTATAGGCAACCTGTGCTCCGGCTCGGGCATGGGCCTCAGCCTGTACCACCTTTTCATAGATCTCATAACTGCTATCATTTACATATACACAACATCGGGGCCCGATGAGGGCACAAACCCCTCCTTGGGATGCCAAGAGATAGTCCAAAGCCAGCCTGTTTTGGAGGGAAAACGTCCTGAGCTGCTGTACCTCTTTATTTAATGTTTTTACTGCTGACCCTAAATCACTAACCGAGTCCTCTAACTCTAAGGCCACTTTCTCAAGTACCATCTGCAGCCTTACAGTATAGCGGCCTATGCATGCCAGGGCTGGCCCGGTAAACAGTGGCGCTATTCCCAGTACAGAGCACCCTACCAGCTTCTCGGTTGTGAGGGGATTCTTCATATTGCCCTCCAATGCCTTAGTCAGTCGCCGCAGGGTCTTTTCTCGTGACTCAACAGAGGTGTCTCGGGCATTTCTAATCTTTCCTTTGGGCAGTGTGGCAGTTATGGAAAGATGAGGAACTCCATGAGCTATATAACAGCTACCTGTCCAGTTGGCTGGCAGCACCTTGTAAGCCTTTCGGCCACATACAAAAGAGTGACCCTGTAGGGCCCAGTAAGGACTGTTTCTTAAGGGGATTCCTGGGATATTTAAGGCTGCTTTTTCAAACAGGTCATATGCCCCTAGGGGGGCATCCCATCCTCCTGATTGGGTACAAGTGGGGGCATTTCTAATTGTCCCGTTCAAATTACACTCGCCATAGGGACCACTACAAACCCACCATTGGCTTGCTACATTGGAGATATTAACTGTACGGCAAGTTACATTTCCAAACCCCTTTTTTGTGGTAGGATTATTTGTAAGTGTCTCTCTAAAAGGGGAGGAACCACTACACCCACACTGTTGGCCTCCCCTGTTGGTTTTTATCCAATACCCATCAGCCCACTGTGTAATAACACAGGAGCTCTTTCCCACAGGATGCCCATAGGGATCAGATTGGTTTCGGGTAAAACATAACACTCCCTCAGTGAGTACTGCAACTGAATACTCCTGGTCCTGATAGGTGGCTTGCTGTAAAGAGATCTTGTTCCAGAACGGTGAGTTCGTTCTTTCCTGCTTTCTGGTGGTGGCTAATTTTGCTAGGGTCAAGGGCAGCATGTCAAGGGGCATTCCCGTCTTGGGGGATAGTGGAGTTGGAGCACATACCCAGCAATCAGTCTGGTTTGTTAAAGTAGCAACATGGTGCGCAAGCAAAACAAAGGAGTTATGCTCCCGATATGCACAGTTTGGAAATACCAATACAAAGAATAACAATGTTACCCAATTAATTATTACCAAAGTCTTCCCAACCCAAGGTCTCCAATACCTGGGTGGGCCCATTTTAGCATTAAGGTGCCCGCTATTTGTGTCTTTTAAACAGTAGCTTTAGCCCGAGATCGTCACTAGATGAGGAGTCAGCAGGTTGGACGGTCCACTGTTCTGCTGACGAGGGGGCAGGTACTGCCTTCAGACGAGAGTGATGGATCCAGTTCTTGTGGCCCTCGATCTTTGCCGCTGTATGGGAGGTCAGCAGGACGGTATAGGGTCCTTTCCACTTTTCCTGGAGAGGCTTGTCTTTCCAGGTGCGAACAAGCACAGAGTCACCGGGCTGTAAGGAGTGAATGGGAGAGTCCAAGGGGAGAGGCTGGGAATCCTTGGTATACCTGTGAAGAGACAAGAGAACAGCAGACAGGGAACACATATACTGTGACAAAAAAACATTACCCAACTCCCATTCCCCTGACAGAACCAGGGTGCCATTCATAGGCCATGCCCTTCCAAACATAATTTCAAAGGGACTGAGCCCTAATCTACCCTTTGGGAGAACGCGGATACGGAGTAGGACGAGGGGCAAAGCATCAGGCCATCGCAGTGAGGCTTCTTGGCACACTTTTGAGAGATGCCGTTTAAGGGTCTGATTGGTACGCTCCACTACACCACTGGCTTGCGGTCTCCAGGGCGTATGGAGTTTCCAGGGGATCTGTAAGGCATGTGAGATGCTTTGAATGATTTTTGACGTGAAGTGTGTCCCATTGTCAGATTCCATCCACAGGGGGAGTCCAAAGCGAGGAATGAGCTCCTTAACAAACTTGAGGGCCACTATCCTGGCAGTGCAGTTACGGCATGGGAAGGCTTCTGGCCATCCGCTGAACCGATCCACTATAACAAGGAGATATTTGAACCCTTGGGTCCGGGGAAACTCAGTAAAGTCTATTTGCCACACTTGTCCGGGGCCCGGAGTGGGTTCTAGGGCAGCTGGTGGCACAGGATGTCCCGGTCAGGGGTTATTCTTTTGGCAGACTAAGCAGTCCGCTTGTACCTGGGCAGCCAGGGGTCGGAGTCCGGAAGTGATAAAGTATTTTCCCATTAGCTGGATAAGTGTTTCCCTGCCAGCATGAGTGGTT